CGTCTCGTCACCACTGCTCCTCTGCACATTTCGATGTGATGGAGATGGAGTACGATTTCATTCTCGGTACTCCGTGATCTCGTCGGTTCCAAAGCACCGAGGCCGATTGGGCGACCAACACTCTCGTTCTCAGAATGAAGTGTAGAGAGACGTATCGCATACCTTTCATAGGTACCACTGCAACACGATGCCCTGATCCTCCTCCCCCAGAATCTTCCGTGCCCACTCCATCTCCTACTATCACGGTCACCTCGCCTCGACACTTCGCTCACTTTATCCGACAGGACGACGTCACCTTCTTTACAGTGAACATTGCGGATCTCTTGCACTATGATCCACCCTATCCCGATGCCGAGCTGATCTCTATGGAACCAGATCCTTCTTTTATCTTCATGGCTCCCATCTCTACCTCCCTCCCTCCGTCGTCCGTCCAGTCCACCCCGTCGCCGCACGCCGACACTGATGCTGAGGAACTGGCTCGCTATTCGGCCGATCTTGAGCCCGCAGTTCGTGATCTCACTCGAGAGTACCACGACGTTTTTCCATCGTCGTTCCAATCGCGCTTCAACCACTATGAGTTTACGATGAAGCCATTTAGCCTCACCAACGCACCCGCTACCTTCCAGACGACGATGAACGACATCTTCAGGGATATCCCGGAGCTGTACGTTCTCGTCTACCTCGACGATATTCTGGTCCTCAGTCGTACCCTTGAGAAGCATCTCAGACACCTCTGCGACGTCATTAATCGTGTGCGCAAACATGACTTCTATGCCAAGCTGAGCAAGTGTCGCTTTGCCCAGCGCAACATGGATGTCCTAGGACACTACGTGTTTGACGAGGGTCTCCACATGGATGACTCGAAGATCAGTTCTATCACGGACTGACCTAACCCCAACTTCGCAGTTTTCTTGGACTTGCGAGTTATTACAGTAAGTTCATCCGAGTTTAGGCCTCCTACAGGCATGTCCTTACCTCTACCCTCCTTTGGAAGAACCAGCTACGGATTTGGACACCCCTCCACGAGGACGCCTTCCGCGCCCTCAAGAAGGCGGTGAAATGTGCACCGGTTCTCCACCTACACAATTTTAATTGCCCTTTTATCCTTACTACCGATGCGTCAGACTCTGCTGTAGGAACAGTGCTTTCTCATATCTTCCCTTCCTCTTCTGATTCCTCTCATCCTCGCATCGCTTACTTCCCACCTCCTACCCCTACCACTGCTTCCCGTCTGACGCCTACTCGTCCAACTATTGACGAGCCTTCTATTGACTATTCTTCTACCATCATCGAGGACGACATTGTCGAGTCTCACTCAGGTGGACGGTTAGGAGGGGTGTGGGAGCGGTGTAAGATTAGGCTGGGAGGTACTGTTTATAGGCGTAGAGGAGGAAGGGACGCGGACCCAAAAAGCGAAGAAAGGAGTTTCAGGGTAGGAACATAATAATGAATGAATGCGGACGGGTGAGGAGTACCAAGTGGGGATTAGTGGTTGAGAAAAATTAGGTTTTTCGGCAGGACTTCCGTCTTCGTGTCGAAGAGTGCAAAAGTATCGATCTCACCCCTGATTGTAGTCGTGGCCAATGATAACTCAGAGACGTTCTCGACCGAAGAGGAAAGCGACATTCTGGAGCGACCTCAATAACTCCAGAGGAATGAAGACTCCGTAGACGCTGCGACCAAGGCTACTGGAGCTGGGTGAAGAACCGTACCGGAACGCCCGCGTAGGGCGTCACGCTGGTAATTCTGGTTTATGCTGGTGGTAAACCCTGGGCTTGGGGGGGAGGCGGTTTCCTCGAAGACGAAGTTACCAACACGGAAAACGCACGCGTTAGAATTAACTTCCCTTCGTAACCTTCTCCCCTCCCGGTAGAAGGTAGGATAGCTATGGTAGCAAAGCATCCAAGCACAAGCCATGCGAACAACGCAGGCGACGAAGCGCTGCTGAGGTCACGTGCCGGTCCATCCCCCGAACTCGCTCGACTTTTTTTTTTTTTTTTTTTTTTTTTTTTGGAAGGGCAGCCTGTGTCGTATGATCCAGGCACATGCAATGACTTGCTGGTTCAAGGTCGCCTGTAGCCTATCTCTGACGAGGCTGTACTCTAGGTAGGGACAAATTCATAATTTTGTTTGGCTGAGGACTAACCGAGAGACCTGCCTGTATGGGAAATTCGTGAGGGACATATCTGTAAATATAGAAATATGGGCCCTGTACTAACTCGATTTTCCTACAGCTACCCTAACTGCGAATAGCAGGCCCAGGCTACCCCTAGGACAGACAGGCCCTATGGGCCTATGCTGATAGACGGTCCTATAGCCTATAGCCAGGGAGGGAGAGGCCCTAGAGGCCGAAACTGAAACGGTACCGGTCGGTCAGTCAGTCCGGTCTAGGTCGGTCTAGGCTAGAGTAGAGTATAGATAGGATGGGGACATCGGTCCTGGGCTTTTGGCAGTTGACACTTCGTGGTGGAAGTTGCTGTGCACATGGTATCAGGTCGTGGTTGCTGATTCCGGTGGTGGAGACGGTGGACATAGCCAGACCTTCGGAGCGCTGACCGGACTGGGGTCAACGCTGTCCGCTCTAACTCCCTGAGAGTCAAAGCGGTCTGGGCTATCAGAGGTCTGATGCGCTGGAGCACGTGGTGCACTGCTGACCCTCCTCAGGAGTAGGGTCCCAGTGGCCATGTAGCCATAACTGCATCTTCTCAGAGATATCATCGTCTGGACTTCATCTTCATCAAGGACTGTTGGCGCTGAGCTTCTTCTTCATCATCTGGATGGTGATTGGCTCCGGGAGCCTGTTTCACTTTGGCGCAGGCCACTGAGTTGGATGTCAGGGTGGCGCTGGGTGTTACCTGGGGTTTGGTTGCTATTTTTAGCTGTTCAGGGTGTTGGGGTTGAGGCGCTACCTCTCTGGGTCTAGCACAACAGGGTTCTGGGGTTATTCCGTAAAAACGATGCTCTGAGTTTAATAAACGGTATCAATACTGTGTTCGAGTTGTCATCTCTCCATTGCAATCTGGCTGTGATCACTCGGTTGTCTTCAAGGAATGATTGTTGGGATTTGTGTGGAGAGAACTCACAGTTTGTGTATTCTGTCACTTCGCCCCTCTGAGTCTTCCGCTGTGTTTCTTTCTGTTGGGCGGTGTGATACTCCACTACCTCTCCCCTTCCTTTTGTGCATGTATGGGAGTGTACGGGAGTTCATGTGAGTGAGTGTTGATAAAAATTTCAACAGACAATCATGTTCATAACACACACCGGCCGGCCTGGTTCATACGACGGCTGCCAAATAAATTTTACCCTAGGTGCTACAAAAAAGTTAGGGAAGAAAAAAAAAATACATACACGGATACTAGAGACACCTTTGCTACGAGGACATCCCGGAGAAGGAAGAGTAGGAAGACAACAACGAATTAGAGGCGGACGAGAGGACGGAGCAGGAGCCGGCCGAGGAGCGGAAGACGAGGACTACACAAGAAGGACGAAGAAGAAGAGAAGGAAGACGACGGGGAAAAGGTGGGGCAGGAGAGGGCGGAGGATAAGAATATGAAGACTGAACGAGTACGAGGAGGAAGACCAGGCGAGGAGGAAAAGGACAGATGATGAAGACGAGAAAGGTGGAGGAGGAGATGTCGGGAGAGAAGAAGATGACGACTGGACGAGTACGACGAGGAAGACTGGGCGGAGGATGAAGACAAGAAAGAAGGCAGAGCAGGAGAGGTCGGGGGCGAAGAAGATGACGACTGTGCGGAGGAGGAAGATGGCGGAGCAGGAGAGGGCGGAGTGGGAGGAGGACGCCCCGCATAATCGACAAGGAGCGAGGGTAGGGGAAGAGGAGGAGGAGGATGAATAGGAGAATGATAAGGACGAGGCGGACGAGAGGCCGTCACCGCACTGGGCAGGGGTAATGGCGCACCTGGTTGGCGAAGGAGAGGCCGTATCCGCCAGCTCGGGCAGTGGGCGGAGGTGATGGCGCGCCTAGTGCGCTTGCGCCCGATTCACGTCTTCCCACCTCCGCCCTCTCCTCCCACATCTTTGCCGAAGCACACGAACCGCGGGCGCAAGGCTGTATTTGGACCGGAATGCGTCCGCGGTCCAATCGAAGTACTATTTCGACCTCGAGCTTTTTTTCTTTTTTTCTTTTCTACATTCTTCTCTCAATTTCACATCACACTGCTTACCTACCACCACTCCGACCTGGGCCTCGCTCCACTACTAACCGCATGCAAAAAAGATTTAAATATAGCTATGTATCTTTCTGTGTTCCACTGAAAACTTCATTCCCATTTTACAGTCGATGGGGAGCGGAGCGAGGCCGGCCTGAACCCGCCGCTCCCCCCCGTCCGCAGCTTTGCGCCCGGCCTCCCCCAGTCGCCCCCGGTCCAGTCCGCCCAGCGGGTGTTCCCACGACCCCGCTCCCGAAACCGGTAGTTTTGGTGAGAACCCGTCGTCGCCGCACTACTCACCGAGGTGTTCTCAGTCTGGACATGGTTTGGTGAGTTTTCAATTTTGGTGAGATAGTGCGGTGACGCTGAGGTTTTCGGTCCTCCCGGCGTTGGTGAGCACTCACCAAAGAGTTGCCAGTTTGGTGAGTAGGCTCACGAACTCTCTACAGCCGGGTATCGTATAACACCACAGCCGCCGCTCCGCCATAACCGGAAGTCACTAGTCCTGCTTTGTATCCGGGCTTGTGAGTCACATGCGGCTTCGTTGCTTGCGTCCTGCTTTGGCATCTCTGGTCCTTGTTGTTTGCCCGCTCGTCGGTCGGCGTCCCCTCTGATGAGCGCTTCGTGTATACACGAGGACCGAGTGTCTGTCGGATGGCGGATGTGGCGGGAAGGCACGCTCGGAGATTTCTTGACTCAGACCTGGCGACTGTGTGACGCCCGGTAATTGGCTTCACTCTCCGTTTCGATCGCTCCAAGTGCGAGGGAAGAACAGTCGCCAATCGATATCAGTTAGGTGTCCTCTAAAGATCAACGTATAGATAGGTTTGGGGCGGCGCAGGGCCAGAGTGACTTCTGAATGTGAGGGCCGTGCTACCTACTTCTCGTACTAAGCCTGCGCAAGCGGACGAAACAGGTGAGATGAAGTCAAAGATAGCCATGGGTATCGATCTGGGAACGGACTTCTGCTGCGTCGGTTACTATGACGATGGAAAGATTGAGATTGTCCCAAACAAAATGGGTGCGCGGTGCACGCCATCCGTTGTGGCGTTCGAAGAGACCTGTTTGCTCACTGGTGAAGTCGCCAAGTGTGTAGCGCGGCGGACACCCGAGCACAACGTATTCGAGGTGATGAAGCTGATGGCGAGATCTTTCGTTGATGCCCAGGTTCAGGAGTACAAGGGGAAGTGGCCGGTCCAGTTGGTGCCGGGATCAGGCAGGGGTGTTCAGATTCGGATACCCGGAGTACCGAAAGAATTGGGTGAGGGATTATTCGATCCGGAGGATATTTCGGCCGCCTTGTTGAAGGCGATGAAGGAGATATCCGAGGAGTTCTTATATCAAAGAGTCGAAGATGTTGTCATTACGGTCCCCGTCTTCTTCAACGACCGGCAGTGTGCGGCGACTTTGGATGCAGCGCGTCGAGCGGGGTTGAACGTTCTGGAGCTGATAAATGAACCAACGGCGGCGGCAATTGCGTTTTGGCATCAAGGTCTGATTTCGAGGAGGCCTGAAGAAAGTAACATCATCGTTTTCTACTGGAAGAAACATAGCCTCGATGTGTACGTCATCAAAGGGGACTGCGGCATCCGTGTGGTGGTGGCGGAAACCCATCCTGATATTGGGGAAGCGGAAATCGACGGGCGGCTCATTCGACACGTGGCAAACGAGTACAAGTTAAGGACAGGTGTTGACCTACTAGCTAACACGAGGGTACTTTCAATGCTGAAGGAGGAGATTGCCCGCGCGAGGCGTCGACTTTGTTCGCGCTTCGCGACCCGTATCCAGCTATATTTAAGCGATATTGATCTCGACATAGGCTTAAGTCGTTCCACATTCCTTTCACTCAACGAGGCCGTGTTTGAGAAATGCAGGACAGTAGCAGTCGAAGCTGTTTACGGAGCGGGGATCACAACGAAATTCATCACGGACGTGTTGCTGGTTGGGCAAACGACACAAATACCAGGGGTTCGAGATATGCTGGAGACATTGTTCTGGAGGGAGCCGTTGGGGGTTTGTCGTGATGATGAGCATGATGAGATGGTGGCCAGAGGAGCAGCGGTGAGAGAAGCTATGCTGTCCCCAGACCTGAGCGATTGTGATAAGCCAAGAATATGAGTGGACGATATAAAGTTAAGCATCGGCGTGATGATAAGCCCGGGCGAAATGCACATCATGATCACGAAACGCACCTGGATTCCCGCAATAGCGGAGCTGTGTGTGAAGTGCGAGGCTGATTACCAGAGTGACATGGTGTTCAGACTTTACCAAGGCGAGCGCGCTCTGTGCCGCATCAACCGATTTCTTGGCGCCTTCACGCTAAGCGGTTTCAGACCGATGGCGGCGAGTGGAACACCGATAGTGAAGCTCGTGCTGAGAGTCAATTGGAATGGGATTCTGTACGCATCAGCGGAGGCGATTGCCGATCATTGCGAGATAGGGAAGGTGACCAAGCTCGAGGTGCGCCTTCGGAAAGAGCAGTCCGCGAATGATCGGCCTGCTGCGATAGCTCACGATGAGCAAGAATGCGAAGAGACAGAAGAGGACAGGGCACTTAGAGCAACCTTTGAAGCGCGGCGAGATTTGCAGAAGCTAGTTTGGGAAATCCGAGAGAAGCACTTCGAGAGAATGTCCATCTCGCAGAAATGGCGTATGACAGAGGTGTTGGATTGGCTATCAAGCGAGGATAATTATGCCGACAAGAGCGTGTACGAACGAAAAGCGGCAGAGCTCCGGAGCATTATGGCGAGAGTCTGTGGGAGGAATGGTCTGTGCCGCTGAGGGAGTCTCACATCCGCTTGATGACGTCGGTTTTCATTCTGACTAGGGCCCACGCGGTTCCACGCCTCCATACGCAAGCGGCATCGGATAGGTAGCGGTCCCAGCTGATCTCCTTTTTTTTTATGGTTCCTTCTTAACATTGAGCGGATGTATTCTAAGGAAATCAGTCGACTTTGATTATATTGTCACAAAGGAATAGAAATGAAGAGTAGGGATTCCGAACGGCTGAGGATATCACAACGACTAGGGCCGTAGATTACTGCTCTTACTCGACGAGGGCGGGGGAAGTAGATGAGAGGCGAAGCTACTGGCAAAATGCTCGGTCTTTACAATAGCCGGCCCTCCCCACCGGCAGCCCCACCCTACTCCCTGACCGCGGCCGATTAGGGTGGGGGCCAACATGCATTCCCTTAATTATGAGCGGTAGTTATGCTTGCAGGTGTCCCTTCTATAGGCTTAGGAGTAGTGGTAGGTAGGTACTGACAGGTGAAACTGAGAGAAGAATATGGCTTAGTTTAAAAAAAAGAAAACGGATTAGGTCTTCTTCAGGTCGGGCACGATGTTGAGCGCTTGCCTGTGAAAGGCGCTTGGACTTGCAATGAACGGATTGCGCGTGGAGGGGGGGAAGAGAGAGAGGGAGGGGGGGAAGAGAGAAAGAGAGAGAGAGAGAGAGAGAGAGAGAGAGAGAGAGAGAGAGAGAGAGAGAGAGAGANGCCTGTATCTGGGCCAATTACATTTGGGATGTGGGCTCAGATACAAGCCCGATAGATTTCGAATTTCTGTAGTGGAGCAGCTCTCTCTGTGTCCAGAGCTCTTTCTCTCTAACATGTTATTCGTTAAAATAGGACATTATATTTTAAATTGGTACTCGCACGCTATTGATTTCATGTTAAAATCGCTATATTTTGGACCTGAATGGAACTTAGGAACCCGAAGAATGCAATTGAGAGGCCATAAATTGAATCTAAACTGGAGATTCAAGGCAATTACTAACTGATCATGATGGATTAAGTGTGGATTCCATTGCACTTCCATCAATTTTGTAACTTAAAAGTCGTTACGGTTACAACATGAATTGTTGAACTCTCGATTTCTTTACACCTTCCTCAATTTTGAGTCAGCATTGAGTCGAACCTCTTTTATATGACATTGTGACTTCCCTTAATTTATTGAAACTCAATCGAAGTGGGACATTTACGGCAATTACACGGATGGTTTAAGTACTAATAGTCTAGACTAAGTACGGATTTCGTCGCACTTCGATAATTTTTGCTTTAACTGTATTAAATGTATACTAATCACGACAAAGTTTAACGAATCACACGACAAACAAATGACACGACAAACGAGATTACAGTTTAAGCACAGTGACTATGGGTTCCATCGCACTTCGATAATTTATGTATTACATACTTATTAAAGGACGTGACACTCAGTCTGTTCGGTGTGATTTAAGGATGGATTCCAACACTGTGATACTTCGATAATTTTGGACTCTATCACACTTCGACAATTTATGTGACTTTAAAAACGAAACACACATGTCATTGTCATACATTGAAATACACTTGAATCAGACGTACTACACATGACATTGTGTAAAGGCGAAACTAGATGGTTTATGTATGGATTTCGGCGCACTTTTACAAAAAATCATAAACCGATATGACATTGTCATATGAAAGTGAAATTCACGTGAGTACCATGAATTTTGTCTCACTTCAAGAAATGTCATACCCATGAAAAATTATACCGACACGTGCAAGAAATCGCAAATGCAAGATTGAAGTATGTCTACATTAAACGCTACAAGCCAACTGTACATTGAACTACGTCTAAATAAAACGCTACGAGCCGCAACAATGTAAACTTTCAAAAACGTTATTATTTACAAAATTTGAAGTTCCTACCGATGTCCCCGCGTCCCTTTAGAACCAAACCCGTATAAGGCATTCATAGACGACCCGAAAACAAGGGTTTGTGGCTGTCCCTTCGTCGCCACCCTCGAGAACACCGAAATGTACTTCATCCTTACAAACCTACAGACACCTGCCAAGGACTTACCGATGGCGTCACRCACACAACATGTCGCTTGCTCTACCTCATACCACTTATGAACCTCATCAATTCGACTAGCAATCTCCAAATCGGATTGTCCGTTCTCGCACAGAAGGCACAAACTCCCCATGTTGCAACCATAGATTCTAAGGTTGTTACAAGAAACTAGCACTACAACGTCTACCAAAGTCCACTTTCGGTTTGAACATGCCACACACAACACTCTGCAGAAGTCGGAACCGACCACAGACAACCGTATGCAACAATATGACACATCTTTTAGCTGTAACTTGGCACCACGCAACGGATATACTTCCAAAAACGGATTGTAGGATGCACAGTCCAACAAGTCTTGTTTCGAGTCCGCACACCACACCCGATGTGACCTCATTACGTTGTCCAGGCGAAGGTAAAACCGGTTATTCTCTTCCTGCCTGAGCGCGGCATGCAGGGACGGAAGTTGTCTGACACCAATGGCATAATGAGGTACTTTGATCAGACTTCCCCACTCCATCGCGGAAGCAAATTTGTAGTCCTTATGCCATGGGCATTTCCTTGCTAAGATGGCTTTATCCCATTCAGCCTCGGACCACGCATCGATAGGCTTGTCTAAGAAGGGGACGACGGTCATCCACGGGTCGTTTCCGGTATCGCCTCCCGAACCTCGGAATCCGCATGCACAAGGGTGAATGGGACATGCATAATCATACCGATGGTCCTTAACTCCTGTAGCACTCCCTAGACAACACATGAAATGCAAACAGAAATGAAAATGAAATGTGAAAATAGTAAAAAAATCGCCTTCATGATGAACTTAACTTCAAAAATTGTCGAACCATCACCAACTGTGGACAAAATTCGCCACGCAGAATCATCGCAAAAATAATATACTCCCGTCTAAATTCTCGTTCGTTCAAATAGTTATTTTAAAAAATCTCACTCCATCACTCTATTCGGCGGACGTGCCCTCGTCGCCCTTGTCCCCTCCATCTACACTCCCTTCACCAGAAGGACTCAGATCTAGAAGTGCAGCTTCAGCATTCAGTCGAACACTGGAAGGAATGACAAGTCCAGTCGTGAATGGTCTTGTACCTCGGACCGGTTTATCCCAACCGAAAGCGATAGAGTCAGCATCCTGCCATTGTGTCTGCTCAGTCATTTTCCATCGTTTTTCCCATGCATTCTTATACAGTTGTTCGAGCGTCTTAGCTCTCCCAGTTGACACTTAATATTCCACTAACACTTGATTATAATTTTGCGAATTATAATCAACAACCACCCGAGAAAGAGCTTTGCCCACCAAGATTGGCACACCGCTGGACTGATCATCGTCGGAGGGGCGAAGGATAAGAAAAGTGTCCATATCAACATGCACGAGGGGGTCGAAACTAGTCTTCGGGCGATTTTTTCTTCGTCCAACAAACAGGGGTTTCCTATCGTCGATGTTGACACTGCGAGGAGGAGGTTGTTGATCGCTTTCGAGCAGCCGTGGTCGTGGCCAAAAACTTTCTTGCGGTTGTGAGGACAACCCGTTGGCGATGATCTCATCGCCATGTTTGATACCCTCCTTCCAGTAACCCAAAGCTCTTTCTCTCCTACTCACCTCATGGTCATTGTAAGTGCACCACGTCGACCGCCTACTCTCCAGCAACTCGCAGAATCGAACAACACCACTTTTGCCATTCAAATAGTCATTTCGAGGAAGGGGTTGCACATGAGGCGGGTCAAACG